TTTGTCTTCTTCTGAACTCTCTTCCACTCTTGGCTGTGAATTTTGGAAATATTTTCTTGTCTCTTCTTCTTAAATTTTTTTTTCTGGCATCACCATCACTATCTCCTTACTCACCCCCCCCCCTTCCCCTGCCCCACCACCACAAATGTCCCTTGTAACAAGTATAATCAAGGAATACTCTTAAATTTAATTTTACGTTATAATTGTTTGTTTTTAAATCAATTATATTTCTTCTGTTAGAATCTGATCTCCTCAAGGGAGTGGGCTGTATCTTACTTATTCTCATACCCTCAGTACCTGCCTCTAAGACCTTTCCTTGGTGAACCTGAATATTCCTTGATTTGGACCCTCCCTGCAATGGTGCAGGTTGCAACCTTTCCATCTGCTCTTATATCCCCTGGAACTCTTGCCTGAGTCCTTTTCTATACTCTCCACCACGGTCCTCTGCCCAATGGGCCAAGGGCCTTCTTCTGGCTCTCCAGACCTTGTGTGGGTCTCAGTACTGCATATAAGCCATGTATTGTTTAACCCTCACCCTGGCAACTGGCCCGGTCCTCATGCCCATCTCTCTGATGATTCCCTCTGGGCTACTTTCTATGCCTGTATCTTGGTTGGTTTTTGTTACCTCTTGCTTCTACCCACCACATAGATCTCTTTTGCCAACTGGAATTCTTCTGAGACAGTCTTGAAGCCATGCATGGTGACTAGGAGAATATCAGTGTTTACAAAGCATTGGCCTTGAACATTGAGGGCTGTTAATTACTGCTTATTGAAGCAATTTCTTCCTTTTCTTTCTTTCTTTCTTTTTTTTTTTTTTGCTGCCCTTAGGTCCCTGCATTACTTTCCAAATCTAACCCTGTAATTTGTACCATTTTCTCTCCCTGCTTCTCCATCCCTTTAGACTCTTTGCTCCAGACCAATGGATCGATGTTTCCTCAAGTAAGGACAACTCTTGTCTTCATTTGCCATCAACTTGTGTCTCATAAGAGAGTTTTTTCTCTTTGTCTGAACTGCGGTAAATGATTTTGCTTTATAATGAATCCAATATGGTAGCACATTAATGCAGAGTGCTTCTTAAATGTCTTTTCAGTCAACATTAGGAGTGATCTTTAATCCTTTACAACAGAGAAAAGATGACTATAAGATCTTATGGGTTTTTTTTAATCCAATGAAGGTCAAGTTTGAGCTGGTCTTTGATTTGTGGTTTAAAGGGAAAGGTTGAGAGAGGAAGCTAGTATAATCGATCCAGGTACTGGGAGAGTTGGGTAAGCCTGGGTTCAAATCCTACCTCTGAAATTTAATAGCTGGGTAATCTTGGCAATCTTGTTAATTTCTCTGAACTTGAGAAAACAGATTATGGATAGAGTACCAACCCTGGAGTCAGAAGGATCTGAGTTCAAATCTGGCTTCCAACATTTACTGGCTGTGTGACCCTGGGCAAGTCACCCAAATTGCCTCCAAAAAAAAATTGAAGAAAATAGCTTATGGTTGGTTGTGCCAGGGGAGGGAAAGTTCCCAGGGTGGCTAGAATGACAGGATTCAAGTTTTTGTGAAAGTTGTGGTTCAGTAGTATTTTATGCAACACAGACACTGAATTTCTTCAGCCTGCCTCTGCATCTCTTTATTTTTCTTTTCCTTGACAAATATCCACCTGGGGACTGTCTGCTGGAAGTGTCCCAGAGCCCGCAGCCCCAAGCTGATGCTGACAGCAGATTCCAGCTCAGGGTTGAATTGCATATCCCTCCCCCATCCCCACACCTTTCTGGGCCTTTGTTGGAGGCCCCGGCTGGCTTCCAGGTCGGCTCATTGTGAAGAGACGTTCCCATGAAGGCAATTGGAGCTAGTTCAGAAGGCAGAGGACTTTGTTTATCCTCATACTTAGAATGTTTGTATTGTTTTCATTTTTAAAATGCCTTATTAATTGGGAAAGTTCTGTGTGCTGGGTCTGTGTATATTGATAAGTTTATCTAGATTTCACTCTCTCTCTCTTTTTATTTTTCCAATGATCTACAGTGTCTGCAATGAATTCATACCATGTTCTTTGCGTCAGGCCGCCCTGGTCCTAGCAGTTTGAATTCTCGATGCCTCTGCCTTGTTTATTACCCTCTTTCGTGCATCCTATCAATTCCCCAAAGAATGGAGGCTGCTTGAATGTAGGGACGGTGTCATCTTTGTCTTTGTTTCTGTCTCCAGGGTCTCCTAAGGTGCCTGTCTGGTAGTCAGTACTTCACACAGTATGGAAAGGCTGCTGTAGGTGGACAGTGGGCCAGGGCAGGATCTACTCTGTCCCAGAACCAGGCAAATCTAATGCTGGATCATAGTCATTCTCTTCAGGAGGTCAGAAGCTGGGGCAGCAGAGATGAAAAATAAATTACCCTGAATTGCAGGACCTTGAGAACCTGGCCTGGTCAGGGTGGACGAAGTAGGTGAAGTAGTAGGTTATTGAATCTTTTTTTTTTTTTTGGCTAGGCAATGGGGTTAAGTGACTTGCCCAGGGTCACACAGCTAGTAAATGTTATGTGTCTGAAGCCAAATTTGAACTCGGGTCCTCCTGACCCCAGGGCTGTTGTTCTATCCACTGTGCCACCTAGCTGCCCCTAGGTAATTGAATCTTATATGGGAAGGTGGGGACCCCGAGAGATACCTGCCAGTGATGGAGCTTAATGGATGATCCACAGTGTATTTTTGGTACTCGTAATTCTCCAGGCTCCTAGTGAGGTCTTTTGTCTTAGGCAACAGAGTTAGCTAGGTGAGACCTGGTGTCAGAAAGACCTGAGTTCAAATCTAGCATCAGATATTTACCAGCTGTGCAACCCTGGGCAAGTCACTTAACCTGTATTTGCCTCAATTTTCTTATCTGCAAAATGATAACAATAGCACCTACCTACTAGGGTTGTTGTGAAGATAAAATGAGGTGATGTTTGTATAGCCCTTTGCAAACAATTTGCAATATAAATGCTTGATATTATTAATACATCCAATGTATAATGTAGTTTGCAAGATCAGAGAGTTTCTTGAATAGTAGCTCATAATCGTGACTGGCAGTGAGCCCACTAGGAGGGTCACAACCAGCATCCAGAAAGCCAACAAGTCTGTGCACAAAGCTATGATGTCATTGGTAGAGGGGCACGCTGACCCTGGTGCTGAGTCGATCAGAGAATCATTAATTGTCTCACTACAAATGGAGTATTTGGACATATTGAGAGCCATGGGAATCCAGAACGTATGTCATCTGCTAGAATGGAGTCTATTTTCTTATATCCCTAAGCTAACTTTGAAAATAATGACCTGAGGCCTATTGGGAGACTCAGATCATGGACTATCCATAAGGGACTAGGTGAGCTTTAAACTCACGTTCTATGGAGTACTTTAAGGTTCACAGAGCACTTTCAAGTTTTGTCTTATTGGGTCCTCACAACGATCCTGGGAAGTTGGAACTATTATTATAATACCCATTTTACAGATGAGGAAATTGAGAGTGAGATGGGTTAAGTGACTTGTCCAGGGCCACGTGGCTTATGTCTGTGACTGGATATGAACTCGGGGCTTCCTGAATCCAAGTCCGGTGCTTGACGTGCCGCACCATTGAGGTGTCTCGGGTGGATGCCAGTTGTTAGGAATGTGCGTGGCATTCACTTTCCCAGCCTCTATTGAAGAGGTTGCTGCCATCTGACTGTAGCTAGTCTTCCTTCTTGGCATTCCTCAGTGTAAACACATGTGATTTGGGTCCTTTTATGGACGCGGCTAAGGAGTTCTGAATGTGTGTCCGGCTGACAGCGGCTGTGTGTGTTTGAATCCATAGTGATGGAGCTTGTTTGCTCTGGTGAGGTATTTTCCCGGTCGTGAGCCACCTCCGCCTAAGAAACCATCTGTTTTTGAAGCAAGCAATCACTCACTAACAGATATTTATATTTGTTTAATGTTGCCAAGCACTGTGCTTGGTGTTCAATTCAAAACGATAAACATTGATTAAGCATGTACTGTGTGCCAGGCATTGTGCTGAGTGCTGGTGTTGTGAATGAATGCGAAGGCAGAAGTGAAACATTTCCTGCCCTCAAAGGGCTTACCTTCTGTTGGGGCTATCTCACACACACACACACACACACACACACACACACACACACAGGCTAGTATATACTGAACTTGAGGAGAGGGACTGGACCTGTGATTTCATTGGAATAAGGAAGTCCTGTGTGGGAAAACCCCTTGATTAATACTACTTCCTCTGCAAATCAGTGAGAGATTAAGTGACTTCCCAGAGTCATACAGCTAGTACATATCAGAGACCAGACTTGTACCCAGGTCTTCCTAACTCCAAATTGGCTCTCTGTCCACTGTGCCTTATTACCTCTAGTCTGAATTTGTACAAAATAAGTATATGGTGGAGGGGGGCCACTAGCACATCTAATTCCCGCTCAGGACTTAAAAGATGTTAAAACCAAAGTCTATCCTATTATTATGGAAGACATAGTGACATGGGGGAAAATCAGAGACCCTTAAATACTGAAGATGTGAAAGTGATCCTTGAGTTCTTCATTGACCCACCCCATGTTGGGATTTTGGTTAGAGCACTCAGAGAATGCTGATCAGCTGGTCTCAGTGGACTTTGTCCTTTGAGGTGTGTTTTGAGGATGAGGAGGTCATAGTTCACACACAACACTACTATATCCAGGCCACCCGAGACTGATCACACACGCATGTGTAAAGCAGTTGGAGACAACGTGCTCCCAGCACCAAGTTGGGTAAGCCCTTGGGCGTGGAACTGCCAGCTTGGTCCCATTGGAGAGTGCGTCCTACACTAGCCAGCTCAGAACAAAACAGCCCAGGCATGTACCATCTAACAATGACAGTAGTCTGGTTCTGCTTTTTGGTTTTTATTTCCTCTCTCTACTTCAGCAAGCTTGTCTGGTGGGAGGGTGTCATTGGCTGGAGATAATCTGGGACTTAAGTGAATCCAAGCTTTCTGACATCTGTCTTTCCCTCCCTTCGCTGTTTTACAGATGCCTTCGTGAATAGCCAAGAATGGACATTAAGTCGATCTGTGCCAGAGCTGAAAGTGGTGAGTAATTCATTTCACAGTTCTTTTTAGTGCCTGTGTATTTGGCCCATTTTTCACTTTGCTAAACCAGGAGGATGGGCATCTGCTTAGGCAGAAGAGCAGTGCCTTCGTGAAGCAATCCGGAAGGTCTGCGTGAATGAGAGAGTTAGCCCAGAGTGGAGGAGTTGACACACTGTGCCTGGAAAGGGCCTGGCCAAGGCTGTCTCCAGGCTGCTCTCTGGTGGGGACCATCACTCTGCAATGTATTTATGGGAAAAGATTTGGCCCTGGGCCTCTTCGTCCTGTTTCCAGGATCTGTCTCCTTCTCGTTGCCTCTTGGATGGCAGAGTCTTCCTTTGACCCTAGTGGAGAGTCTTTTACCCTCTCCGAAGTTCCAGGCACAATGTCCAGAAAGCCTCCGTGGTATAGTGTATTGAGAGTTGTCTCTGGAGTCAGAAATTCCGGGTTTCAATGCCCAATTTGCCACATAATACCCGTGTAACTTTGTACAAATCATCCGATATCCCTGGACCTCAATTTCCTTATCAAGATGACCTCAGGTCCCTCCCAAGTCTAATTCTGGAGTCTGTCATCCATAAAATGAGACAGTTGGACTTCACTAGAGGACCTCTAGTGAACCTTTTCAGCTATAAATCTGTGATTCTGAATAACTGAACCTCTCGGGCCCCTAGTTTCTTTTTCTTTCTTTTTTTCCCCCAGTTTCTTTTTCTAGGTGACCTCTAACATCCCTTCCAGCTCTAAATAGATTGGCCTAAGTCACTTCACCAATCTGGGCCTCAGTTTTCCCCTCCAGATGATCCATCCAGCTTCAGACCCAGGGTCCCATTTCTCAGTGATTCAACCTCAGCGAGGCTCCCTCCCAGCACAGTTTAGGGGGGTCTCCTTAGGGTTCACTTCCCAATTCCATCTCCTTTGTTACTTTTGTTACATTGTTACTCCTATTCTCTCTTGTTCTAAGGACATGATACTGACTTTGCACATAGTCTGAATTCACCTGCTGTTTGCCCCTTGACTATAAGGTAAGCCATTTGAGGGCAGGAGCGATTTACTTTTGGGGTTTTATTCCCCTAGCACCCAGAAGGAACTTCAAAGGCATTTGTTGAATCTTGAGTGGAATTGACCAGAGTAGATACAACAGTGAAGTGGGAGAGATCCATTTCACCCACCAACTCTGACTCCCTGGTGTATCCAAGAAGGTTTATTTCTAATATGTTTGTGCTTGTGCTGGGGAGAATGAGGTGCCTTCATTTACATATGTTATTATTGCTTCACATAATACAGTGGCTGGTCACCAATCAATCAGCAAGCATTAATTAAGTGCCTGCTGTTTGATAAGCTTCAGGATACAAAAACATAATTGAAACTGGCCACATCAGATTTTTCTCTTTTTCTTTTTTAAAAATGATTACTAGTGTTTTTACCTATCATCTTTATCTCTTCCTGCTATCTACCCAGAGAACCCATCCTTATAACAATAAAGATATCAGCATTCAATTTTTTAGGGCACACTGTAAATCTGTTTTATGACTCACAAATAGTACTGATCTGTGAGTGGTAAAAACAACTTGGTGAATAAGTGGCCATTTCTCAGAAAAAGGCCCATTCTGAGATTCCTTGCTAGCTTTGAAGCCATTTTCAATAATTAAAAGAGAAGTTTTCTCTTGGTCTGGGCTTCCACACACGTCAGTTTGGCTTTGTTGGCAAAGAATAGGGAGAGAGACTTTGCTTGAAGAAACTGAGGACGACCCTGGACGCTGGAGAGAGGGGGTGATTAGAGAGTGCACACAGAGAGCTGGCAAATGTAGAAGAGATCAAGGCACAACATACAAATATCTATTGATAGTTTTGGGGAAAGTAGGTTAGTGGTTCAGCTGAGGAATCAGGTGCCTTTGGATTTGGAATTGGAAGACGTGAGTTTGAATCTCAGTTCTGTCCATGACATACCTATAGTCCTTGGGTATGTTACTTCTGCCATCTGGGCATCAGTTTCCTCATCTGTAAAATGAAAAGTTTGGCCTATAAGAACCATTTTAGTTCTAAATTCATGAATCTACGAATAGATAGGCTTCCCTCCAGCTCTATCTCACCCTGCTTCCCTGGGACTCTGTTTCTTCATTTGTCGTATGAAAGAGTAAGATTAGATGGCTTCTGAGGTCTTTTCTCACTCTACTTCTATGATCTTTTTTTGGGGGGGGTGATTTCTAGGCAATTGGGGTTAAGTGACTCGCCCAGGGTCACACAGCTAATGTCAAGTGTCTGAGGTCGGCTTTGAACTCAGATCCTCCTGACTCTAGGGCCAGTGCTCTATCCACTGCACCACCTAGCTGCGCCTAGCTCTATGATCTCAACCCTTGCCCTCTCTGGGCCTCATTTGCCTCCTATGTAAAGTGAGGGGTTTAGATGACCTGCCCTCTGAGGTCCCTTCTGCTTCCAGGTCTAAGATCCTTCCCTTAGGTGAATGAGTGAATTTGCCTATGGTTTCAGTTGTTTAGTTAGAGACCCAGAAGGAGGGCTCCAGCTGACTACCTCTCAGTGTTGTGTGCTTTCAGTCATTACCTTCTGACCCAGGATATAGTGAAAACATTCATTATCACACCAGAAGCGAAGTAATCAAAACTCGCCACTCACCGCCATTTGATCCATTTTCAGTATTTGGGGAGGTAGTGGTTTTATCTCCCCGTCAGCTCCATTCCCTGAGAAGTTGGGTCTGCTTTTATCGGCCCAACAGTCAATCATAAAAAGGAAAGACCCATGTAAATTCTTTTATTCAATAAACATTTCCAGAATACCTACCTTGGGCAGAGCTCTTTTCAGCAGTGGGGCGGTGCAAAGGTGAACCAGACACTTCACTCATGCTATAAGCATAGCTTCTTTTGCCTTCATGGCAGCCCCTCCTCTCTTGGTCCTGTTGAATTTTTGTGTACAAATGAGGGGCAAAGCCATCATTTCTTATGCGCAGCCATTCGGATAAGAAAGGGGTTTTATTGGGGAAAAGGGTCTATAAAAATATATCCAGCATTAAGTAATTCAAGTAAAGGGAGCAGTCCTTACAGGTCTCCTCTTCCATTTGAAGGGGCCCCTCCTAAATAAATCTGGGCATGACAAAGCGTCAAAGCTGCCTGGATTCTTTCTCAGGTTTTCTGCTTGGCTGCCCCATCAGGCTGTCTCAGCTTCTTCCTCTGTATAATTATGCCTTCAGGGTCTCCCTGTCTGGGAGGGGAGAGGCAGCCCCTGAGCTGAGTGACAGGGCCAAGAGGGTTCCCCTGACAATGCCCTCTCTAATGAGGACAGAATTGCAGGCTTTGAAGGTGCCTGGGTCCATCTGGGCCCGTTCTTCCTTGTTGAATAAATCTATGCAAGAAAACCGCAAGGGAACTGGATATCTAAGAGGCTGAGATTTCAAACAGGATTGTGAAAAAGATTAGCTTCATTTATGTAAATAAATGGCCATGTTTTTCCAGAAAAGGAACTGAGGTTTTTATGAATTTCTATTGATCTTATATTTTTATATCGCTAATTTCCAAATACATCTCTCCTGTCCCCAGAGAACTGTCCCTTGTAGCAAAGAATAAAAATTAAAGAAGGGGCGAAAAAAGCAATTCAGCAAACCCAACCACTAGAATGATCGAGGTTGACAGTGTACCCAGTGTTCTGTAGCTATGGGCCCCCACCTCTGCAAAGGAGGGAGGGAAGTACAGGTCACTTTAATAAACAAACTAACAAACACACACATTATATATAATTAAATAAAATATTGATATTAAAATACATATTTGCCCTGGTTTAATTATTCTGTATTATAGAATTCAATGGGAGTAATGGAAGCCCTGTTGAAATGGTGGTTGGATTTACAAAGTAAGAAAGTCCAGGGTGAACTAGAGGACTGTCACGTGCAGTGGTTTGCCCTTTGCTTGTTGTTTGTGGGATAGTACCGGAAACGTCCTGGGTGCTGTTGTGGAGGTGGTTGTGAGTCATTTCAGTTGTGTTCACCTGCTCATGACCTCATTTGGGATTTTCTTAGCAAAGTTACTGGAGTGGCTTGCCATTTCCTTCTCCAGCTCACTTTGCAGACGAGGAAACTGAGGCAGAGAGAGTTAAGTGACTTGCCCAGGGTCACACAGCTAGTAAGTATCTGAGGTCAAATGAACTTAGGAAGATGAGTTAAAAAAATTTTTAATTTAATTAAAAATTAAATCACAACAAAATAAAACAAAGAATCTTAGATTAGATGCCCTCCAAGGTCCCTTCCAGCTTTAATTCTATGAAATACATCTGACATGTCAGCGAAAGTTTCCATTCAGAAAGCTTAATCCCTACCCCATCCCTAAGTTTTAGTCTTTAAACCGTTAACCCTAAAGCAGTCTGGAAACCCTGATTCTCCAAAATGACAGATTCCCAAAAGTTCAGAGGGAGGTTTCGTCCTGTAAAAGATAAGCCCTTCCTCCTAGGCGTTTCGCATCGACTGAGCATTTGAAAGATCAAACAGAAGTTTGGAAGACCCAACATAAGGGCATGAAACAGGGTGCACAACAAGTCCGGGCTTCACTGGGTTCTGGGCCAAACGAAGGACGGGCACCCCACGCTTCAGGAGGTCAGGAGGGGAAAAGACGCATGAAGGTGGGAATCGAGGAGGAAGACTTTGGTTGGGTCCTGAAGGGGAGGGAGGATTGAGATAAGCAGAGAATGAGAAGGTAAAAGCTGAGAACCCAAAAAATTGGACTGATTGAGATCACTGTCAGGGTCTCTTCTAAGGCTAAGATTTTAGTTTGTTCATTAGCCATAATTGATCTCTGAAAAATATTGCTCAGAGATTTTGAGCTTTTCCTTAAGAATTACGTGAATGAATGGAAAAGGCATTTATGATATGGCAAGAACTATGAAAAGCACAGGGGGTACAAATACAAAAAGGGATAGCCCTTGCCCTCGGGGAGCTTACATTCTAACAAGAGAAGACACATGGAGGAGTGAAAACCATGGAGGGGTCCAAGGGCTGGTCAGTG